GGGCCCTACAGGCCTGGCATCCCAGGGCCATCAGGGGTGGGTGGACACCAAGGAACCCTCCTGGGGTGCCCGTGGCTTGCCCCAGGGTGCCCCGGTGGCGGCCCGAGGTGCTCATAGCATCCGGCCCGGCATCCTCAGGGCGCATTCTCAGGAACAGCGGGACCCCGGTGACCCTGACTGGAGCAGCTGATCCCGCAGGGACAGCCCAGGGGGCAGCGCAGCTGCCCCAGGACCATCAGAGACGGTTTAGGGGCAGTGGCGCACCAGGGGCTCTCCCAGGGGTCGTGCGCGCCCAGAGGTCCCTCCCAGGGCGGTGGTGCACCTGGGGTCCCTCTCGTGGAAGAGTAGTGCTCAGGGACCATTCCAGAGCAAGCCTCCAGGGACCATCTGAGGAGCCCTCCAGGGAAGGCAACTCAAGGACTCCAGGGGCATCGCTGCGAGAGACCTTTCGAGGGGGACGTTAGTGCCCCCCAGAGACCTTTTAGAGGTCCGGCGGGCCCTATGGCATGCTTATTTGTTGTGTCATATTTTCGTACATTACATACTTCCGAAGTCCTTACTTAACTCTGATTGTTGGACTATTCTCTTAACCCGCCAAATTTCAGCCAATAGGAGAAGATCAGTCAGTCAGCACAACTTTTTAAACTTATATGTTTTCCTGTTGATATTATTCTCTGTTACCTTCTTCAGAGAATCGATCATATTGGTGGAAATGTGATGGGTGATTGTATTTATTTAGCGTTGCATCTCCCAGGTAAAATTGAGCATAACTACTGCACCCATGGGCCCTACGGGCGCTAGGCTCCCAGGGCCATCCAGGGTGGTGGACACCCCAGGAACCCTCCTAGGTGCGCGGCGGCCCCAGGTTGCCCCAGTGGCGGTGCCCCAGGGGCCCTCGCAGCATCAGCGGCATCATCGAAGCATTCTCCGGAGCAATGGGACCCATTGACCCTGACTGGGCCATGGATCCCGCAGGGGACCAACCCAGGAGCCTTGCAGCCCCAAGGACAATCCCAGGAGGCGGTTCAGGGGCAGTGGCGCACCAGGAACTCTCCAGGGTGATTGGCGCCCAGGGGTCCCTCCAGGCGGTGTGGTACACCTGGGGTCCCTCTCATTGGAAGAGGTGCTCAGGGGACCATTCAAGGAAAAAGAGCCTCAGGGACCATCCCAGAGACCCTCCCAGGGGCGGCACCTCAAAATGACACTCCCAGGGGCATCCACCACCAGAGACCTTTCGGGGGCGTTAGTGCCCCCCAGAGACCTTCTTAGGAGTCAGCGGGGCCCTAATGGCATGCTTGTTTGTTGATATCATATTTTCATTACGTACATACTTCCGAAGTCCCTTACTTAACTCTGATTGGTGGACTATTCTCTTAGCCATAAATTTCAGCCAATAGGAGAAAGAATCAGTCAGTCAACACAACACCCGACTTATGTTTTCCTGTTGATATTATTCTCTGTTACCTTCTTCAGAATCGTCATATTGGTGGAAATGTGATGGGCGGTGTATTTATTTAGCGTTGCATCTCCCAGGTAAGAGGTGAGCACTAAACTGGCTGCACCCATAGGCCCCTACAGGCCTGGCGCTCCCAGGGGCCATCCCAGGAGTGGTGGACACCCCAGGAACTCTGGGTGCGTGGCAGCCCCCAGGGTGCCCCCAGTAGCGACCAGGCTGATTGCCCTCGCAGCATCAGCGGCATCCTCGAAGCATTCTCAGGGGAGCAATGGGACCCCAGTGACCCTGACTGGAGCAGCGGATCTCGGAGGGACCAACCCAGGGGTGGCAGCCCCAGGGACCATCCAGAGACAGGTCAGGGCCAGTGGCTCACCAGGGGCTTTTCTCCCATGGTCGGTGGCGCGCCCAGAGTCCCTCCCAGGGCGGTGGTGCACCTGGGGTCCCTCTCATTGGAAGAGGAGTGCTCAGGGACCATTCCAGGGGAAACAGAGGCCTCTCAGGGACCCATCACAGAGACCCTTCCAGGGGCGGCACCTCAAAGGACACTCCCAGGGGCATCACACCACCCAGAGACCTTTCCGGGGAGATTGGGTGCTTAGAGACAATATGTAGAGAGGTCAGGCAGGCCCTATAGCATGCTTGTTTTGTTGTGTCATATTTTCGTACATTACATACTTCCAGAAGTCCCTTACTTAACTCTGATTGTGGACTATTCTCTTAACCCGCGGAAATTTCAGCCAATAGGAGAAGAGATCAGTCCGGTGGCGCTTACCCCGACTTATGTTTTCCTGTTGATATTATTCTCTGTTACCTTCTTCAGAGATGATCATATTGAATTGCAAATGTGATGGGCGGTGTATTTATTTAACGTTTCATCTCCCAGAGTAAAATTAGGCATAAACTACTGCACCCACTTGATTTCACAGGCCTAGCGCTCCCCAGGGGCCATCAGGAGTGGTGGACACCCCAGGAACCCTCTAGGTGCCGCAGCTGCAGGGGTGCCCCCAGTGGCGACGGTGCCCCCAGGGGCACTCGCAACATCAGCGGCATCCTCAGAGCATTCTCCAGGAGCAAGCGGGACCCCAGTGACCCTTACCTGGAGCCGCGGATCGCAGGGGACTAGCGAGGCAGCGCAGCCCCCAGGGGACAATCCCAGAGACGGTTCAAGGGGCAGTGGCTGGGAACTCTCCAGGGTGGTGGCGCGCCCAAAAGTCCCTCCCAGGGGCGGTCGTGCACCTGGGGTCCCTCTCATTGGAAGAGGTGCTCGGGGACCATTCCAGGAAGCAAGTACCTCAGGGACCATCAGGGCCACTCCCAGAGAGGGAAGGCGGCACCTCAAAGGATACTCCCAGGGGCATCCACACCCCAGAGACCATTCGGGGACGTTAGTGCCCCCAGAGACCATTCGGGGACGTTAGGTGCCCCCAGAGACCTCTTAGAGGTCCCAGTGGGCTATGGCATGCTTGTTTGTTGTGTCATATTTTCATACGTACATACTTCCAAAGTCCCTTACTTAACTCTGATTGGTGGACTATTCTCTTAACCCGCCAAATTTCAGCCAATAGGAGAAAGAGATCAGTCAGTCAGCACAACACCCCGACTTATGTTTTCCTGTTGATATTATTCTCTGTTACCTTCTTCAGAATGCGATGTAATTGGTGGAAATGTGATGGGCGGTGTATTTATTTAACGTTGCATCTCCCAGAGTAAAATTGAGCATAGTGTGCACCCATGGGCCTACAGGCCTCATGGCTCACAGGGGCCATCCAGGAGTGGTGGACACACGGGAACCCTCCTAGGTGCTGCGACGCCCCCCAGGGTGCCCCCAGTGGCGTGAGGGGTGCCCCAGGGGCCCTCACTTGGCATCAGCGGCATCTCAGGCGCATTCTCAGGAGCAATGGGACCCCGTGACCCTGACTGGGTGGCGGTCACCCGAAAGGGGACCAACCCAGAGGCAGCACGCATTTAGGGACCATCCCAGAGACGGTTCAAGGGGCAGTGAAGGCAGGAACTCTCCCAGGGTGGGTGGCGCCCAGGAGTCCCTCCCGAGGGGCGTGGTGCACCTGGGGTTCCTCTGTTGGAAGAGGAGTGCTCAGGGACCATTCCGGGAAACAGAGCCTCCAGGGACAATCACAGGAGACCCTCCCAGGGAAGGCGGCACCTCAAGGACACTCCCAGGGGCATCACACCACCAGAGACCTTTCCGGGGGGACGTTAGTTACTTTAGAGACCTTCTTAGAGGTCCCAGGCCTAATGGCATGTGCTTGTTTGTTGTGTCATATTTTCATGCATTACATACTTCCCGAATTGCCACTTAACTCTGAGTTGGTGGACTATTCTCTTAACCCGCCAAATTTCAGCCAATAGGAGAAGAGATCAGTCCAGTCAGCTACAACACCCCGACTTATGTTTTCCTGTTGATATTATTCTCGTGCCTTCTTTGGGAATCACGATCATATTGGTGCAGAATGTGATGGGCGGTGTATTTATTTAATGTTGCATCTCCCAGGTAAAGTGAGGCATAAACTATTGCACCCATGGGCCCTACAGGCCTGGCTCCCAGGGGGCCATCCAGGGGTGGTGGACACCCCAGGAACCCTCCTAGGTGCGTGACGCCCCAGGGTGCCCCAGTGGCGACGTGCCCCGGGGCGCTCGCAACATCAGCGGCATCTCAGGCGCATTCTCGGGGGCAACGGCACCCCAGTGACCCTGACTGGAGCAGCTGATCCCGCAGGGACCAACCCAGGGGCAGCGCTGGCCCCCAGGGACCATCCAGAGACGGTTCAAGGGGCGGTGGCGCACCAGAACTCTCCCAGGGGTCGGTGGCGCGCCAGGAGTCCCTCCCAGGGCGGTGTGGTGCACCTGGGGTCCCTCTCGTGGAAGAGTAGTGCTCAGGGACCATTCCAGGGGAAACAGAGCCTCAGGGACCATCACAGAGACCCTCCCGGGGCGGCACCTCAAAGGACACTCCCAGGGGCATCCACACCACCAGAGACCTTTCGAGGGGACGTTGGTGCCCAGAGACCTTTTAGAGGTCAGGCGGGCCCTATGGCATGCTTGTTTGTTGTGTGTCATATTTTTCGTACATTACATACTTCCCGAAGTCCCTTACTTAACTCTGATTGGTGGACTATTCTCTTAACCCATAAATTTCAGCCAATAGGAGAAGAGATCAGTCAGTCAGCACAACTTACCCGACTTATATGTTTTCCTGTTGATATTATTCTCTGTTACAGCTAGCTTCAGAGATGCGATCATATTGTGGAAATGTGATGGACGGTGTATTTATTTAACGTTGCATCTCCCAGGTAAAATTGAGGCATAAACTTCTGCACCCATGGTGCCCCTACAGGCCTAGCGCTCCCAGGGGCCATCCCAGGAGTGGTGGACACCCAGGAACCCTCCTAGGTGCCACGGCGCCCCAGGGTGCCCCAGGCGACGCTTGGTACTAAGGGGCCCTCGCAACATCAGCGGCATCTCGGCATTCTCAGGAGCTGTATGGGACCCCAGTGACCCTGACTGGGCAGCGGATCGGAGGGACCAACCCAGGGGGCAGCGCGGCCCCCAGGAACCATCCAGAGAGCACGGTTCAAGGGGGCGAGTGGCGCGCAAGGAACTCTCCCATGGTCGGTGGCGCGCCCAGGAGTCCCTCCCAGGGGCGGTGGTGCACCTGGGGTCCCTCTCATTTGGAAGAGGTGCTCAGGGACCATTCCGGGAAACAGAGCCTCAAGGGACCATCCCAGGGCCCTCCAGGGAAGGCGGCACCTCAAAGGATACTCCCAGGCATCACACCCCAGAGACCATTCCGGGGACGTTAGTGCCCCAGAGACCTTCTTAGAGGTCCCAGTGGGCCCTATGGCATGCTTGTTTGTTGTGTCATATTTTCGTACTTTACATACTTCTAAATTCATACTTAACTCTGATTGGTGGACTATTCTCAGCCGCCAAATTTCAGTAATAGGAGAAGAATCAGTCAGTCAGCACAACACCCCGACTTATGTTTTCCTGTTGTTGATATTATTCTCCTGTTACCTTCTTCCAGAATGCGATCATATTGGTGGAAATGTGATGGTGTATTTATTTAGATTGCATCTCCCAGGTAAAATTGAGCATAAACTATTGCACCCATGGGCTTTCCACAGGCCTGGCGCTCCCAGGGCCCATCCCGGGGGTGGTGGACACCCCAGGAACCCTCTAGGTGCCGTGACGCCCCAGGGGTGCCCCCAGTGGCGACGGTGCCCCCCGGGGCGCTCACCCAACATCAGCGGCATCCTCAGGCGCATTCTCAGGAGCAACGGGACACAGTGACCTGACTGGAGCGAGTCCCGCAGGGACCAGCTGGCAGGGCAGCGCAGCACAGGGGACCATCCAGAGACAGTTTAAGCGGTGGCGCACCAGGAACTCTCCCGGGGTCGGTGGCGCGGAGTCCCTCCCAGGGGCGGTGGTGCACCTGGGGTCCCTCTCATTGGAAGAGTAGTGCTCAGGGACCATTCCAGGGAAACAGAGCCTCCCGAGGGACCATCACAGAACCTACCACTCCCGAGGGCGGCACCTCAAAGGACACTCCCAGGGGCATCCGCGCCACGAGAGACAGCCTTTCACGAGGGACGTTGGTGCCCCCAGGACACTTTTAGGGGTCGGGGCTATGGCATGCTTATTTGTTGTGTCTATTTTCGTACGTACATACTTCGAAGTCCCTTACTTAACTCTGATTGGTGGACTATTCTCTTAACCGCCAAATTTCAGCCAATAGGAGAAGAGATCAGTCCAGTCAGCACAACACCCGACTTATGTTTTCCTGTTGATATTATTCTCTGTTACCTTCTTCAGAATGCGATCATATTGGTGGAAATGTGATGGGCGGTGTATTTATTTAACGTTGCATCTGCCAGAGTAAAAATTGAGCATAAACTACTGCACCCATGAGCCCTACAGGCCTAGCGCTCCCAGGGGCCATCCCAGGAGTGGTGGACACCCCAGGAACCCTCCTAGGTGCCGCGACGCCCCCAGGGTGCCCCCCAGATGCGACCGGGCCCCCAGGGGCCCTCGCAACATCAGCGGCATCCTCAGGCGCATTCTCAGGAGCAATGGGACCCCAGTGACCCTGACTGGAGCAGCGGATCCCGGAGGGACCAACCCAGGGGCAGCGCAGCCCCCAGGGACCATCCCAGAGACGGGTCAAGGGGCAGTGGCGCACCAGGAACTCTCCCATGGTCGGTGGCGCGCCCAGGAGTCCCTCCCAGGGGCGGTGGTGCATCTGGGGTCCCTCTCATTGGAAGAGGAGTGCTCAGGGATCATTCCAGGCGAAACAGAGCCTCCAGGGACCATCACAGAGACCCTCCCAGGGAAGGCGGCACCTCAAAGGACACTCCCAGGGGCATCCACACCACCAGAGACCTTTCCGGGGACGTTAGTGCCCCCAGAGACCTTCTTAGAGGTCCGAGCGGGCCCTATGGCATGCTTGTTTGTTGTGTCATATTTTCGTACATTACATACTTCCCGAAGTCCCTTACTTAACTCTGATTGGTGGACTATTCTCTTAACCAGCAAATTTCAGCCAATAGGAGAAAGATCAGTCAGTCAACACAACACCCCGACACCTGTTTTCCCTGTTGATATTATTCTCGTGCCTTCTTCGAAATGCGATCATATTGGTGGAAATGGAAGTGGGCGGTGTGTTTATTAACATTGCATCTCCAGAGTAAAATTGAGCATAACTATTGCACCCATGGGCCCTACAGGCCTTGCGCTCCCAGGGGCCATCCCAGGAGTGGTGGACACCCCAGGAACCCTCCTAGGTGCCGTGACGCCCCCAGGGTGCCCCCCAGTAGCGACCGGACCCCAGGGGCCCTCGCAACATCAGCGGCATCCTCAGGCGCATTCTCAGGAGCAATGGGACCCCAGTGACCCTGACTGGAGCAGCGGATCCCGGAGGGACCAACCCAGGGGCAGCGCAGCCCCCAGGGACCATCCCAGAGACGGGTCAAGGGGCAGTGGCTCACCAGGAACTCTCCCATGGTCGGTGGCGCGCCCAGGAGTCCCTCCCAGGGGCGGTGGTGCACCTGGGGTCCCTCTCATTGGAAGAGGAGTGCTCAGGGACCATTCCAGGGGAAACAGAGCCTCCAGGGACCATCACAGAGACCCTCCCAGGGAAGGCGGCACCTCAAAGGACACTCCCAGGGGCATCCACACCACCAGAGACCTTTCCGGGGACGTTAGTGCCCCCAGAGACCTTCTTAGAGGTCCGAGCGGGCCCTATGGCATGCTTGTTTGTTGTGTCATATTTTCGTACATTACATACTTCCCGAAGTCCCTTACTTAACTCTGATTGGTGGACTATTCTCTTAACCCGCCAAATTTCAGCCAATAGGAGAAGAGATCAGTCAGTCAGCACAACACCCCGACTTATGTTTTCCTGTTGATATTATTCTCTGTTACCTTCTTCAGAATGCGATCATATTGGTGGAAATGTGATGGGCGGTGTATTTATTTAACATTGCATCTGCCAGAGTAAAAATTGAGCATAAACTACTGCACCCATGGGCCCTACAGGCCTAGCGCTCCCAGGGGCCATCCCAGGAGTGGTAGACATCCCAGGAACCCTCCTAGGTGCCGCGACGCCCCCAGAGTGCCCCCCAGTGGCGACTGGGCCCCCAGGGGCCCTCGCAACATCAGCGGCATCCTCAGGCGCATTCTCAGGAGCAATGGGACCCCAGTGACCCTGACTGGAGCAGCGGTTCCCGGAGGGACCAACCCAGGGGCAGCGCAGCCCCCAGGGACCATCCCAGAGACGGGTCAAGGGGCAGTGGCGCACCAGGAACTCTCCCATGGTCGGTGGCGCGCCCAGGAGTCCCTCCCAGGGGCGGTGGTGCACCTGGGGTCCCTCTCATTGGAAGAGGAGTGCTCAGGGACCATTCCAAGGAAGCAGAGCCTCCAGGGACCATCCCAGAGACCCTCCCAGGGAAGGCAGCACCTCAAAGGATACTCCCAGGGGCATCCACACCCCCAGAGGCCATTCCGGGGACGTTAGTGCCCCCAGAGACCTTCTTAGAGGTCCCAGTGGGCCCTATGGCATGCTTGTTTGTTGTGTCATATTTTCGTACATTACATACTTCCCGAAGTCCCTTACTTAACTCTGATTGGTGGACTATTCTCTTAACCCGCCAAATTTCAGCCAATAGGAGAGGAGATCAGTCAGTCAGCACAACACCCCGACTTATGTTTTCCTGTTGATATTATTCTCTGTTACCTTCTTCAGAATGCGCTCATATTGGTGGAAATGTGATGGGCGGTGTATTTATTTAACGTTGCATCTCCCAGAGTAAAAATTGAGCATAAACTATTGCACCCATGGGCCCTACAGGCCTGGCGCTCCCAGGGGCCATCCCAGGGGTGGTGGACACCCCAGGAACCCTCCTAGGTGCCGTGACGCCCCCAGGGTGCCCCCCAGTGGCGACGGTGCCCCCCGGGGCGCTCGCAACATCAGCGGCATCCTCAGGCGCATTCTCAGGAGCAACGGGACCCCAGTGACCCTGACTGGAGCAGCTGATCCCGCAGGGACCAACCCAGGGGCAGCGCAGCCCCCAGGGACCATCCCAGAGACGGTTCAAGAGGCAGTGGCGCACCAGGAACTCTCGCAGGGTCGGTGGCGCGCCCAGGAGTCCCTCCCAGGGGCGGTGGTGCACCTGGGGTCCCTCTCATTGGAAGAGTAGTGCTCAGGGACCATTCCAGGTGAAACAGAGCCTCCAGGGACCATCACAGAGACCCTCCCAGGGAAGGCGGCACCTCAAAGGACACTCCCAGGGGCATCCATACCACCAGAGACCTTTCCGGGGACGTTAGTGCCCCCAGAGACCTTTTTAGAGGTCCGAGCGGGCCCTATGGCATGCTTGTTTGTTGTGTCATATTTTCGTACATTACATACTTCCCGAAGTCCCTTACTTAACTCTGATTGGTGGACTATTCTCTTAACCCGCCAAATTTCAGCCAATAGGAGAAGAGATCAGTCAGTCAGCACAACACCCCGACTTATGTTTTCCTGTTGATATTATTCTCTGTTACCTTCTTCAGAATGCGATCATATTGGTGGAAATGTGATGGGCGGTGTATTTATTTAACGTTGCATCTGCCAGAGTAAAAATTGAGCATAAACTACTGCACCCATGGGCCCTACAGGCCTAGCGCTCCCAGGGGCCATCCCAGGAGTGGTGGACACCCCAGGAACCCTCCTAGGTGCTGCGACGCCCCCAGGGTGCCCCCCAGTGGCGACCGGGCCCCCAGGGGCCCTCGCAACATCAGCGGCATCCTCAGGCGCATTCTCAGGAGCATTGGGACCCCAGTGACCCTGACTGGAGCAGTGGATCCCGGAGGGACCAACCCAGGGGCAGCGCAGCCCCCAGGGACCATCCCAGAGACGGGTCAAGGGGCAGTGGCGCACCAGGAACTCTCCCATGGTCGGTGGCGCGCCCAGGAGTCCCTCCCAGGGGCGGTGGTGCACCTGGGGTCCCTCTCATTGGAAGAGGAGTGCTCAGGAACCATTCCAGGGGAAACAGAGCCTCCAGGGACCATCACAGAGACCCTCCCAGAGAAGGCGGCACCTCAAAGGACACTCCCAGGGGCATCCACACCACTAGAGACCTTTCCGGGGACGTTAGTGCCCCCAGAGACCTTCTTAGAGGTCCGAGCGGGCCCAATGGCATGCTTGTTTGTTGTGTCATATTTTCGTACATTACATACTTCCCGAAGTCCCTTACTTAACTCTGATTGGTGGACTATTCTCTTAACCCGCCAAATTTCAGCCAATAGGAGAAGAGGTCAGTCAGTCAGCACAACACCCCGACTTATGTTTTCCTGTTGATATTATTCTGTTACCTTCTTCAGAATGCGATCATATTGGTGGAAATGTGATGGGCGGTGTATTTATTTAACGTTGCATCTCCCAGAGTAAAAATTGAGCATAAACTACTGCACCCATGGGCCCTACAGGCCTGGCGCTCCCAGGGGCCATCCCAGGGGTGGTGGACACCCCAGGAACCCTCCTAGGTGCCGTGACTCCCCCAGGGTGCCCCCCAGTGGCGACGGTGCCCCCCGGGGCGCTCGCAACATCAGCGGCATCCTCAGGCGCACTCTCAGGAGCAATGGGGCCCCAGTGACCCTGACTGGAGCAGCTGATCCCGCAGGGACCAACCCAGGGGCAGCGCAGCCCCCAGGGACCATCCCAGAGACGGTTCAAGGGGCAGTGGCGCACCAGGAACTCTCCCAGGGTCGATGGCGCGCCCAGAAGTCCCTCCCAGGGGCGGTGGTGCACCTGGGGTCCCTCTCATTGGAAGAGGAGTGCTCAGGGACCATTCCAAGGAAGCAGAGCCTCCAGGGACCATCCCAGAGACCCTCCCAGGGAAGGCGGCACCTCAAAGGATACTCCCAGGGGCATCCAAACCCCCAGAGACCTTTCCGGGGACGTTAGTGCCCCCAGAGACCTTCTTAGAGGTCCCAGTGGGCCCTATGGCATGCTTGTTTGTTGTGTCATATTTTCGTACATTACATACTTCCCGAAGTCCCTTACTTAACTCTGATTGGTGGACTATTCTCTTAACCCGCCAAATTTCAGCCAATAGGAGAAGAGATCAGTCAGTCAGCACAACACCCCGAATTATGTTTTCCTGTTGATATTATTCTCTGTTACCTTCTTCAGAATGCGATCATATTGGTGGAAATGTGATGGGCGGTGTTTTTATTTAACGTTGCATCTCCCAGAGTAAAAATTGAGCATAAACTATTGCACCCATGGGCCCTACAGGCCTAGCGCTCCCAGGGGCCATCCCAGGAGTGGTGGACACCCCAGGAACCCTCCTAGGTGCCGCGACGCCCCCAGGGTGCCCCCCCAGTGGCGACGGTGCCCCCAGGGGCCCTCGCAACATCAGCGGCATCCTCAGGCGCATTCTCAGGAGCAATGGGACCCCAGTGACCCTGACTGGAGCAGCGGATCCCGGAGGGACCAACCCAGGGGCAGCGCAGCCCCCAGGGACCATCCCAGAGACGGTTCAAGGGGCAGTGGCGCACCAGGAACTCTTCCATGGTCGGTGGCGCGCCCAGGAGTCCCTCCCAGGGGCGGTGGTGCACCTGGGGTCCCTCTCATTGGAAGAGGAGTGCTCAGGGATCATTCCAGGGGAAACAGAGCCTCCAGGGACCATCACAGAGACCCTCCCAGGGAAGGCGGCACCTCAAAGGACACTCCCAGGGGCATCCACACCACCAGAGACCTTTCCGGGGACGTTATTGCCCCCAGAGACCTTCTTAGAGGTCCAAGCGGGCCCTATGGCATGCTTGTTTGTTGTGTCATAGTTTCGTACATTACATACTTCCCGAAGTCCCTTACTTAACTCTGATTGGTGGACTATTCTCTTAACCCGCCAAATTTTAGCCAATAGGAGAAAAGATCAGTCAGTCAGCACAACACCCCGACTTATGTTTTCCTGTTGATATTATTCTCTGTTACCTTCTTCAGAATGCGATCATATTGGTGTAAATGTGATGGTGAATTTATTTAGCGATTGCATCTGCGAAGTAAATTGAGCATAAAAACTACTGCACCCACATGGGCCCTACAGGCCCTAGCGCTCCCCAGGGGCCATCCAGGAGTAGTGGACACCCAGGAACCCTCCTAGGTGCCGCGACGCCCCCCAGGGTGCCCCGGTGGCAGCAGTTGCCCCAGGGGCCCTCACTTGACATGGCGGCATCCTCGGCGCATTCTCAGGAGCAATGGGACCCCAGTGACCTGACTGGAGCAGCGGATCGGAGGGACCAGCAGGAGCAGCGCCCAGCCCCCAGGGACCATCCCAGAGGCGGGTCAGGGGCAGTGGCGCACCAGGAACTCTCCCATGGTGGGTGGCCAGGTCCCTCCAGGGGTGGTTGCACCTGGGGTCCCTCTCATTGGAGAGGAGTGCTCCGGACCATTCAGGGGAAACAGAGCCTCCAGGGACCATCACAGAGACCCTCCCAGGGGAGGCGGCACCTCAAGGACACTCCCAGGGCATCCACACCACCAGAGACCTTTCGAGGGGCGTTAGTGCCCCAGAGACCCTTCTTAGAGGTCAGAGCCGGGCCCTATAGCATGCTTGTTTGTTGTGTCATATTTTCGTACGTACATACTTCGAAGTCCTTACTTAACTCTGATTGGTGGACTATTCTCTTAACCATGAAATTTCAGCCAATAGGAGAAGAGATCAGTCAGTCAGCACAACACCCCGACTTGCATGTTTTCTGGTGATATTATTCTCTATTTGCAGCTAGCTAGAATCGCGATCATATTGGGGTGGAAATGTGATGGGGTGTATTTATTTAACGTTGCATCTCCCAGAGTAAAAATTGAGCATAAACTATTGCACCCATGGGCCCTACAGGCCTTGCGCTCCCCAGGGGGGCCATCCCAGGGGTGGTGGACACCCCGAGAACCCTCTAGGTGCCGTGACGCCCCCAGGGTGCCCCAGTAGCGACCGGGCCCCCAGGGGCCTCGCAACATCAGCGGCATCCTCAGGCATTCTCAGGAGCAATGGGACCCCAGTGACCCTGACTGGAGCAGCGGATCCGGAGGGACAACCCAGGGAGCCTTGCAGCCCCCAGGGGACCTCCCAGAGACGGGTCAGGGGCAGTGGCTCACCAGGAACTCTCCCATGGTCGGTGCTTGGCGCGCCCAGGAGTCCCTCCCAGGGGCGGTGGTGCACCTGGGGTCCCTCTCTCATTGGAAGAGGTGCTCAGGGACATTCCAGGAAACAGAGCCTCAGGGACCATCACAGGAACCCTCCCAGGGGAGGCGGCACCTCAAGGACACTTGCTCCCGGGGGCATCCACACCACCAGAGACCTTTCGAGGACGTTAGTGCCCCCAGAGACCTTCTTAGAGGTCGAGGCGAGCCCTATGTGCTTGTTTGTTGTGTCTCATATTTTCGTACATTACATACTTCCCGAAGTCCTTACTTAACTCTGATTGTGGACTATTCTCTTAACCCGCCAAATTTCAGCCAATAGGAGAAGATCAGTCAGTCAGCACAACACCCCCGACTTATGTTTTCACTGTTGATATTATTCTCTGTTGCCTTCTTCAGAGATGCGATCATATTGGTGGAAATGTGATGGGGTGTAATATTTATTAACGATTCATCTCCCAGAGTAAAAATTGAGCATAAACTACTGCACCCATGGGCCCTACAGGCCTGGCTCCCAGGGGCCATCCCAGGAGTGGGTGGACACCCCAGGAACCCTCCTGGGTACTTACTGACGCCCAGGGGTGCCCCAGTGGCGGCGGTGCCCCCAGGGGCACTTTCACCCAGCATCAGCGGCATCCTCAGGCGCATTCTCGGGAGCAGGACCCCAGTGACCCTGACTGGGCCACTTGGATCACGGGGACTAACCAGGGGCAGCACGCAGCCCCAGGGACAATCCAGAGACGGTTCAAGGGGCAGTGGCGCGCCAGGAACTCCCAGGGTCGGTGGCGCGCCCAAGGGGAGTCCCTCCCAGGGGCGGTGGTGCACCTGGGGTCCCTCTCATTGGAAGAGGTGCTCGGGACCATTCCAAGGAAAAGCAGAGCCTCCAGGGACATCAGGAACCACTCCCAGGGGAAGGCGGCACCTCAAAGGATACTCCCAGGGGCATCCACACCCCAGAGACCATTTCAAGGGGACGTTAGTGCCCCAGAGACCATTCGAGGGGCGTTAGTGCCCCCAGAGACCTTCTTAGAGGTCCCAGTGGGCCCCTATGGCATGCTTGTTTGTTGTGTCATATTTTTCGTACATACATACTTCCCGAAGTCCCTTACTTAACTCTGATTGGTGGACGTATTCTCTTAACCCGCCAAATTTCAGCCAATAGGAGAAGAGATCCAGTCAGTCAGCACAACACCCCGACTTATGTTTTCCTGTTGATATTATTCTCTGTTACCTTCTTCAGAATCGCGATCATATTGGTGGAAATGTGATGGGCGGGTGTATTTATTTAGCGTTACATCTCCCAGAGTAAAAGAGGTGGTATAATTATTGCACCCATGGGCTAGGGCCTGCATGCAGGGGCCATCCCAGGAGTGGTGGACACCCCCAGGAACCCTCCTAGATTCTTTCGCGACGCCCCAGGGTGCCCCCAGTGGCGACGGTGCCCCCAGGGGGCCCTGCCAGCATCAGCGGCATCCTCAGGCGCATTCTCAGGGAGCAATGGGACCCAGTGACCTGACTGGAGCAGCGGATCCGCAGGGACCAGCCCAGGGGCAGCGCAGCGGGGACCATCCCAGAGACGGTTCAGGGGCGGTGGCGCACCGGGAACTCTCCCAGGGTCGGTGGCGCGCTTAGGAGTCCCTCCCAAGGGCGGTGGTGCACCTGGGGTTCCTCTCGTGGAAGAGGACTGCTCAGGGGACCATTCAGGGGAAACAAGAGCCTCAGGGACAATCACAGAGACCCTCCCAGGAGGCGGCACCTCAAAGGACACTCCCAGGGGCATCCACACCACCAGAGACCTTTCGGGGGCGTTAATTGCCCCGAGACCTTCTTAGAGGTCCAAAGCGGGCCTAATGGCATGCTTGTTTTGTTGTGTCATATTTTCGTACATTACATACTTCAGAAGTCCCTTGCTCTGATTGGTGGACTATTCTCTTAACCATGAAATTTCAGCCAATAGGAGAAGATCAGTCAGTCAGCACAACACCCGACTTATGTTTTCCTGTTGATATTATTCTATTTACCTTCTTCCAGAATGCGATCATATTGGTGGAAATGTGATGGAAGTTGTATTATTTATTTAATGTTGCATCTCCCAGAGTAAAATTGAGCATAAATTATTGCACTATGGGCCCGACAGGCCTGGCGCTCCCAGGGGGGCCATCAGGGGTGGTGGACACCCAGGAACCCTCTAGGTGCCGTGAGCGCCCCAGGGTGCCCCCAGTGGCAGCGGTGCCCCGGGGTGCTCACAACATCAGCAGCATCCTCAGGCGCATTCTCAGGAGCAACGGGACCCCAGTGACCCTGACTGGAGCAGCTGATCCCGCAGGGGACCAACCCAGGAACAAGCAGCCCCAGAGACCATCCAGAGACGGTTCAAGGGGCAGTGGCGCACCAAGGAACTCTCAGGGTCGGTGGCGCGCCCAGGAGTCCCTCCCAGGGGCGGTGGTGCACCTGGGATCCCCTCTCATTGCAAGTAGTGCTCAGGGACCATTCAGGGGAAACAAGAGCCTCAGGGACCATCACAGAGACCCTCCCAGGAAGGCGGCACCTCAAGGACACTCCAGGGCATCCACACCACCAGAGACCTTTCGAGGACGTTGGGTGCCCCAGAACCATTTTAGAAGTCGGCGGGCCCTATGGCATGCTTGTTTGTTGTGTCATATTTTCGTACGTACATACTTCCCGAAGTCCCTTACTTAACTCCTGATTGGTGGACCTTCTCTTAACCGCCAAATTTCCAGCCAATAGGAGAAGAGATCAGTCAGTCAACTGCTTACCCCGACTTATGTTTTTCCTGTTGATATTATTCTGTTACCTTCTTCAGAATCACGATCATATTGGTGGAAATGTGATGGGCGGTGTATTTATTGCGTTGCATCTCCCAGAGTAAAATTGAGCATAAACTACTGCACCCATAGATTTCTACAGGCCTTGCATCCCCAGGGGCCATCCAGGAGTGGTGGACACCCCAGGAACCCTCCTAGGTGCGGCGCCCCCAGGTTGCCCCCAGTGGCGACCTGTGCCCCAGGGGGCCCTACTTAACATGTATCCTCAGGCATTCTCAGGGCAATGGGACCCCAGTGACCTGACTGGAGCAGCCCAGTTCCACGGGGACCAACCCAGAGGCAGCACCCGGCCACAGGACCATCCAGAGACAGTTCAGGGGCGGTGGCGCGCCAGGAACTCTCAGGGTCGGGGGGGGCGCGCCCAGGAGTCCCTCCAGGGTGGTGGTGCACCTGGGGTCCCTCTCATTGGAAGAGTAGTGCTCCCAGGGACCATTCCAGGAAACAGAGCCTCCAGGGACCATCACAGAGACTGCCTCCCAGGAGGCGGCACCTCAAAGGACACTCCCAGGGGCATCCGCACCACCAGGGGCCTTTCGGGGACGTTAGTGCCCCAGAGACCTTTTAGAGAGGTCCGGCGGGCCCTATAGCATGCTTATTTGTTGTGTGTCATATTTTCGTACATTACATACTTCCGAAGTCCTTACTTAACTCTGATTGGTGGACTATTCTTAACCCGCCAAATTTCAGCCAATAGGAGAAGAGATCAGTCAGTCAGCACAACACCCCCGACTTATGTTTCCTGTTGATATTGTTATTCTCTGTTACCTTCTTCAGAATCACGATCATATTGGTGGAAATGCTTGATGGGGGTGTATTTATTTAGCGTTGCATCTCCCAGAGTAAAATTGAGCATAAACTACTGCACCCATGGGCCCTACAGGCCTAGCTATCCCAGGGGCCATCCAGGAGTGGTGGACACCCCAAGGAACCCTCACAGGTGCCGCGACGCCCCCAGGGTGCCCCCGGTGGCAGCGGTGCCCCGGGGCCTTTCGCAGCATCCGCAGCTGACGGCATCCCTCCAGGCGCATTCTCAGGAACGCGGGACCCCAGTGACCCCTGACTGGAGCAGCTGATCCGCAGGGACCAACCCAGGGGCAGCGCAGCCCCAGGGACCATCAGAGACGGTTCAAGGGGCAGTGGCGCGCAGGAACTCTCCCAGGGTCGGTGGCCCAGGAGTCCAGGGGCGGTGGTGCACACAGGGGTCCCTCTCATTGGAAGAGTAGTGCTCAGGGACCATTCCAGGAAACAGAGCCCCTCCAGGGACCATCACAGAAACCCTCCAGGGAAGGCACCTCAAAGGACACTCCAGGGGCATCCACACCACCAGAGACACCGGGGATGTTGGTGCCCCCAGAGACCTTTTAGAGGTCCGAGCGGGCCCTATGGCATCTTGTTTGTTGTGTGTCATATTTTAGGTACATTACATACTTGGTCCCTTATGCTCTGATTGGTGGACTATTCTCTTAACCATAGCAAATTTCAGCCAATAGGAGAAAGAGAATCAGTCCAGTCAGCACAACACCCGACTTATGTTTTCCTGTTGATATTATTCTCTGTTACCTTTTTTCAGAATCTGATCATATTGAATTTGGAAATGTGATGGGCGGTGTATTTATTTAGATTGCATCTGCCAAAGTAAAAATTGAGCATAACTACTGCACCCATGGGCCTGGGCTGGCTCCCCAGGGCCATCCCAGGAGTGGTGGACACCCCAGGAACCCTCCTAGGTGCCGCTGACGCCCCCAGGGTGCCCCCAGTGGGCGACGGTGCCCCGAGGGGCCCACTGCAACATCAGCGTCCTCCGGGGCGCATTCTCGGGAACAATGGGACCCCAGTGACCCTGACTGGGCAACAGATCGGGGAGGACCAGCTTGGGGCAGCGCAGCTACGAGTTCATCCCAGAGACGGGTCAAGGGGCAGTGGCGCACCAGGAACTCTCCCATGGTGGGGTGGCGCGCCTTGAGGAGTCCCCACCCAGGGGCGGTGTGGTGCACCTGGGGTCCCTCTCATTGGAAGAGGAGGTAACAGGGACCATTCCAGGAAACAGAGCCTCAGGGACCATCACAGAGACCCTCCCAGGGAAGGCGGCACCTCAAGGACACTCCCAGAGGCATCCACACCGCAGAGACCTTTCGGGGACGTTGGTGCCCCAGAGACCTTCTTAAGTCCGACCGGGCCCCTATGGCATGCTTGTTTGTTGTGTCATATTTTCGTACATTACATACTTCCCGAAGTCCCTTACTTAACTCTGATTGGTGGACTATTCTCATAACCCATAGAATTTCAGCCCAATAGGAGAAAAGAGATCAGTCAGTCCAGCACAACACCCCGACTTATGTTTTCCTGTTGATATTATTCTCTGTTACCTTCTTCAGAATCGCGATCATATTGGTGGAAATGTGATGGGTGTATTTATTTAACGTTGCATCTGTAGGTAAAATTGAGCATAAACTACTGCACTGCCTGAGCCCTACGGGCCTAAGCTCCCCGGGGGCCATCCAGGAGTGGTGGGCCACCCCAGGAACCCTCCTAGGTGCCTTGGCGCCCCCAGGAACCCCAGATGCGACGGGCCCCAGGGGCCCTCGCAGCATCAGCGGCATCCTGGGCATTCTCAGGAGCAATGGGACCCCAGTGACCTGACTGGAGCAGCCCGGATCCCGGAGGACCAACCCAGGAGCAGCGCAGCCCCGAGGACCATCAGAGGCGAGGTCAGGGGCGGTGGCGGCACCAGGAACTCTCCATGGTCGGTGGCGCGCCCAGGAGGTCCTCAGGGGCAGCATTGGTGCATCTGGGGTCCCTCTCATTGGAAGAGGAGTGCTCAGGGATCATTCCAGGAAACAAGAGCCTCAGGGACCATCACAGAAACCCTCCAGAGGCGGCACCCCTCAAAAGGACACTCCCAGAGGGCATCCACCACCAGAGATTTAACTCACGGGGCGTTAGTGCCCCAGAACCTTCTTAGAGGTCGGCGGGGCCCTATGGCATGCTTGTTTGTTGTGTCATATTTTCGTACATTACATACTTGAAGTCCTTACTTAACTCTGATTGGTGGACTATTCTCTTAACCCGCCAAATTTCAGCCAATAGGAGAAGAGATCAGTCAGTCAGCACAACACCCCCGACTTATGTTTTCCTGGTGATATTATTCTCTGTTACACCTTCTTCAGGAGTAGAATCATATTGGTGGAAATGTGATGGGCGGTGTATTGTTAACGTTGCATCTCCCCGGTAAAATTGAGCATAAACTATTGCACCCATGGGCCCCTAGGGTGGTGGACACCCCAGGAACCCTCCTAGGTGCGTGTGGCGCCCCAGGGTGCCCCCCAGTAGCGACCGGGCCCCAGGGGCCCTCGCAACATCAGCGGCATCCTCGGGCATTCTCAGGGCAATGGGACCCCAGTGACCCTGACTGGAGCATGAGGATCGGAGGACCAACTTGGGGCAGCGCAGCCCCAGGGGACCATCGAGGCGGGTCAGGGCAGTGGCTCACCAGGAACTCTTCCCCGCTCTGGTCAAGGTGGCGGAGGAGTCCCTCCCAGGGGCGGTGGTGCACCTGGGGCCCCTCTCATTGGAAAAGAGGAGTGCTCGGGGACCATTCAGGGAAACAGAGGCCTCAGGGACCATCACAGAGACCCTCCCAGGGAAGCGGCACCTCAAAGGACACTCCCAGGGGGCATCCACACCACAGAGACCTTTCCGGGGGCGTTAGTACCCTAGACCTTCTTAGAGGTCGAAGGCGGGGGCCCTATGGCATGCTTGTTTGTTTGTAATAAATATTTTAATTTACATTACATACTTCGAAGTCCCTTACTTAACTCTGATTGGTGGACTATTCTCTTAACCCGCCAAATTTCAGCCAATAGGAGAAAAGAGATCAGTCAGTCAGCACAACACCCCCGACTTATGTTTTCCTGTTGTGATATTATTCTCTGTTACCTTCTTCAGAATCGCGATCATATTGGTGGAAATGTGATGGGGCGGTGTATTTATTTAACATTGCATCTGCCGGGTAAAAATTGAGCATAAGCTACTTGCCATAGACTTCCTGGGCCTAAGCTCCCAGGGGCCATCCCAGGAGTGAGTAGACACCCCAGGAACCCTCCTGGGTGCCGCGGCGCCCCCCAGGTGCCCCAGTGGCGGCTGGGCCCCAGGGGCCCTCGCAGCATCAGCGGCATCCTCAGGCGCATTCTCAGGAACAATGGGACCCCAGTGACCTGACTGGAGCAGCGGTTCCCGGAGGGACAGCCCAGGGGGCAGCGCGGCCCCAGGGAGGACCATCGGAGAGGTGAGTCAAGGGCAGTGGCACCAGGAACTCTCCATGGTCGGTGGCGCGCCCGGGGTCACCTCCCAGGGGCGGTGGTGCACCTGGGGTCCCTCTCATTGGAAGGGTGCTCAGGGACCACATTCCAAGGAAGCGAGCCTCCAGGGACCATCCCAGAGACCCTCCCAGGGAAGGCGGCACCTCAGGGACACTGCAGGGGCATCCCACACCCCCAGAGCCCATTCCGGGGACGTTAGTGCCCCCAGAGACCTTCTTAGAGGTCAGTGGGCCTATGGCATGCTTGTTTGTTGTGTCATATTTTCGTACATTACATACTTCGAAGTCCCTTACTTAACTCTGATTGGTGGACTATTCTCTTAGCCATGAAATTTCCAGCCAATAGGAGAGGAGATCAGTCAGTCAACACTTACCCCGACTTATGTTTTCCTGTTGATATTATTTCTCTATTACCTTCTTCAGAATCGCTCATATTGGTGCAGAAATGTGATGGGGTGTATTTATTTAACGTTGCATCTCCCAGAGTAAAAATTGAGCATAAACTATTGCACCCATGGGCCCTGGGCTAGCTCCCAGGGGCCATCCAGGGTGGTGGACACCCCAGGAACCTCCTAGGTGCCGTGGCGCCCCAGGGTGCCCCCAGTGGCGACAGTGCCCCGAGCATTCCTTGACATCAGCGGCATCACTCAGGCATTCTCAGGAACAGCGGGACCCCAGTGACCCTGACTGGAGCAGCTGATCCGCGGGGACAACCCAGAACGCGCAGCCCCCCAGGAACCATCCAGAGCGGTTCAAGAAGCGGTGGCGCGCAGGAACTCGCAGAAGAAGGGTGGGTGGGCGCCCGAGGAGTCCCCTCCAGAGGCGGTGGTGCACCTGGGGTCCTCTCATTGGAAGAGTAGTGCTCAGGGACCATTCCAGGTGAAACAGAGCCTCAGGGACCATCACAGAGACCCTCCCAGGGGAAAGCGGCACCTCAAGGACACTCCCAGGGGCATCATACCCACCAGAGACCTTTCGGGGGCGTTAGTGCCCCAGAGACCTTTTAGAGGTCCGGCGGGCCCTATGGCATGCTTGTTGTTGTGTCATTTTTTCGTACATTACACATACTTCCCGGGGGTCCTTACTTAGCTCTGATTGGTGGACTATTCTCTTAACCCACGCAAATTTCAGCCAATAGGAGAAAGAGATCAGTCAGTCAGCACAACACCCCGACTTATGTTTTCCTGATATTATTCTCTGTTACAGCCTAACTTCAGATGCGATCATATTGGTGGAAATGTGATGGGCGGTGTATTTATTGTTGCATCTGCCAGAGTAAGGTGAGCATAAACTACTGCACCCATGGGCCCTACAGGCCTAAAACTCCCAGGGGCCCAGCCCAGAATTGGTGGGCACCCCAGGAACCCTCTAGGTGCTGCGGCCCCAGGGTGCCCCGAGTGGCGACCGGGCCCCAGGGGCCCTCGCAACATCAGCGGCATCCTCAGGCGCATTCTCAGGAGCATTGGGACCCCAGTGACCCTGACTGGGCAACTGATCCGCGGGGACCAACCCAGGGCAGCGCAGCCCAGGGACCATCCAGGGGCGGTTTAAGGGGCGGTGGCGCGCAGGAACTCAGTCGATGCTCGAAGGGGACCATTCCAAGGAAGCAGAGCCTCCAGGGACCATCCCAGAGACCCTCCCAGGGAAGGCGGCACCTCAAAGGATACTCCCAGGGGCATCCACACCCCCAGAGACCATTCCGGGGACGTTAGTGCCCCCAGAGACCATTCCGGGGACGTTAGTGCCCCCAGAGACCTTCTTAGAGGTCCCAGTGGGCCCTATGGCATGCTTGTTTGTTGTGTCATATTTTCGTACATTACATACTTCCCGAAGTCCCTTACTTAACTCTGATTGGTGGACTATTCTCTTAACCCGCCAAATTTCAGCCAATTGGAGAAGAGATCAGTCAGTCAGCACAACACCCCGACTTATGTTTTCCTGTTGATATTATTCTCTGTTACCTTCTTCAGAATGCGATCATATTGGTGGAAATGTGATGGGCGGTGTATTTATTTAACGTTGCATCTCCCAGAGTAAAAATTGAGCATAAATTATTGCACCCATGGGCCCTACAGGCCTCGCGCTCCCAGGGGCCATCCCAGGAGTGGTGGACACCCCAGGAACCCTCCTAGGTGCCGCGACGCCCCCAGGTTGCCCCCCAGTGGCGACGGTGCCCCCAGGGGCCCTCGCAACATCAGCGGCATCATCAGGCGCATTCTCAGGAGCAATGGGACCCCAGTGACCCTGACTGGAGCCGCGGATCCCGCAGGGACCAACCCAGGGGCAGCGCAGCCCCCAGGGACCATCCCAGAGACGGTTCAAGGGGCAGTGGCGCACCAGGAACTCTCCCAGGGTCGGTGGCGCGCCCAGGAGTCCCTCCCAGGGGCGGTGGTGCACCTGGGGTCCCTCTCATTGGAAGAGGAGTGCTCAGGGACCATTCCAGGGGAAACAGAGCCTCCAGGGACCATCACAGAGACCCTCCCAGGGAAGGCGGCACCTCAAAGGACACTCCCAGGGGCATCCACACCACCAGAGACCTTTCCGGGGACGTTAGTGCCCCCAGAGACCTTCTTAGAGGTCCAAGCGGGCCCTGTGGCATGCTTGTTTGTTGTGTCATATTTTCGTACATTACATACTTCCCGAAGTCCCTTACTTAACTCTGATTGGTGGACTATTCTCTTAACCCGCCAAATTTCAGCCAATAGGAGAAGAGATCAGTCAGTCAGCACAACACCCCGACTTATGTTTTCCTGTTGATATTATTCTCTGTTACCTTCTTCAGAATGCGATCATATTGGTGGAAATGTGATGGGCGGTGTATTTATTTAACGTTGCATCTCCCAGAGTAAAAATTGAGCATAAACTATTGCACCCATGGGCCCTACAGGCCTTGCGCTCCCAGGGGCCATCCCAGGAGTGGTGGACACCCCAGGAACCCTCCTAGGTGCCGTGACGCCCCCAGGGTGCCCCCCAGTAGCGACCGGACCCCAGGGGCCCTCGCAACATCAGCGGCATCCTCAGGCGCATTCTCAGGAGCAATGGGACCCCAGTGACCCTGACTGGAGCAGCGGATCCCGGAGGGACCAACCCAGGGGCAGCCCCCAGGGACCATCCCAGAGACGGGTTCAAGGGGCAGTGGCACCAGGAACTCTCCCAGGGTCGGTGGCGCGCCCAGGAGTCCCTCCCAGGGGCGGTGGTGCACCTGGGGTCCCTCTCATTGGAAGAGGAGTGCTCAGGGACCATTCCAGGGGAAACAGAGCCTCCAGGGACCATCACAGAGACCCTCCCAGGGAAGGCGGCACCTCAAAGGACACTCCCAGGGGCATCCACACCACCAGAGACCTTTCCGGGGACGTTAGTGCCCCCAGAGACCTTTTTAGAGGTCCGAGCGGGCCCTATGGCATGCTTGTTTGTTGTGTCATATTTTCGTACATTACATACTTCCCGAAGTCCCTTACTTAACTCTGATTGGTGGACTATTCTCTTAACCCGCCAAATTTCAGCCAATAGGAGAAGAGATCAGTCAGTCAGCACAACACCCCGACTTATGTTTTCCTGTTGATATTATTCTCTGTTACCTTCTTCAGAATGCGATCATATTGGTGGAAATGTGATGGGCGGTGTATTTATTTAACGTTGCATCTCCCAGAGTAAAAATTGAGCATAAACTATTGCACCCATGGGCCCTACAGGCCTGGCGCTCCCAGGGGCCATCCCAGGGGTGGTGGACACCCCAGGAACCCTCCTAGGTGCCGTGACGCCCCCAGGGTGCCCCCCAGTGGCGACGGTGCCCCCCGGGGCGCTCGCAACATCAGCGGCATCCTCAGGCGCATTCTCAGGAGCAACGGGACCCCAGTGACCCTGACTGGAGCAGCTGATCCCGCAGGGACCAACCCAGGGGCAGCGCAGCCCCCAGGGACCATCCCAGAGACGGTTCAAGGGGCAGTGGCGCACCAGGAACTCTCCCAGGGTCGGTGGCGCGCCCAGGAGTCCCTCCCAGGGGCGGTGGTGCACCTGGGGTCCCTCTCATTGGAAGAGTAGTGCTCAGGGACCATTCCAGGGGAAACAGAGCCTCCAGGGACCATCACAGAAACCCTCCCAGGGAAGGCGGCACCTCAAAGGACACTCCCAGGGGCATCCACACCACCAGAGACCTTTCCGGGGACGTTAGTGCCCCCAGAGACCTTTTTAGAGGTCCGAGCGGGCCCTATGGCATGCTTGTTTGTTGTGTCATATTTTCGTACATTACATACTTCCCGAAGTCCCTTACTTAACTCTGATTGGTGGACTATTCTCTTAACCCGCCAAATTTCAGCCAATAGGAGAAGAGATCAGTCAGTCAGCACAACACCCCGACTTATGTTTTCCTGTTGATATTATTCTCTGTTACCTTCTTCAGAATGCGATCATATTGGTGGAAATGTGATGGGCGGTGTATTTATTTAACGTTGCATCTGCCAGAGTAAAAATTGAGCATAAACTACTGCACCCATGGGCCCTACAGGCCTAGCGCTCCCAGGGGCCATCCCAGGAGTGGTGGACACCCCAGGAACCCTCCTAGGTGCCGCGACGCCCCCAGGGTGCCCCCCAGTGGCGACCGGGCCCCCAGGGGCCCTCGCAACATCAGCGGCATCCTCAGGCGCATTCTCAGGAGCAATGGGACCCCAGTGACCCTGACTGGAGCAGCGGATCCCGGAGGGACCAACCCAGGGGCAGCGCAGCCCCCAGGGACCATCCCAGAGACGGGTCAAGGGGCAGTGGCGCACCAGGAACTCTCCCATGGTCGGTGGCGCGCCCAGGAGTCCCTCCCAGGGGCGGTGGTGCACCTGGGGTCCCTCTCATTGGAAGAGGAGTGCTCAGGGACCATTCCAGGGGAAACAGAGCCTCCAGGGACCATCACAGAGACCCTCCTCCCAGGGAAGGCGGCACCTCAAAGGACACTCCCAGGGGCATCCACACCACCAGAGACCTTTCCGGGGACGTTAGTGCCCCCAGAGACCTTCTTAGAGGTCCGAGCGGGCCCTATGGCATGCTTGTTTGTTGTGTCATATTTTCGTACATTACATACTTCCCGAAGTCCCTTACTTAACTCTGATTGGTGGACTATTCTCTTAACCCGCCAAATTTCAGCCAATAGGAGAAGAGATCAGTCAGTCAGCACAACACCCCGACTTATGTTTTCCTGTTGATATTATTCTCTGTTACCTTCTTCAGAATGCGATCATATTGGTGGAAATGTGATGGGCGGTGTATTTATTTAACGTTGCATCTCCCAGAGTAAAAATTGAGCATAAACTACTGCACCCATGGGCCCTACAGGCCTGGCGCTCCCAGGGGCCATCCCAGGGGTGGTGGACACCCCAGGAACCCTCCTAGGTGCCGTGACGCCCCCAGGGTGCCCCCCAGTGGCGACGGTGCCCCCCGGGGCGCTCGCAACATCAGCGGCATCCTCAGGCGCATTCTCAGGAGCAACGGGACCCCAGTGACCCTGACTGGAGCAGCGGATCCCGCAGGGACCAACCCAGGGGCAGCGCAGCCCCCAGGGACCATCCCAGAGACGGTTCAAGGGGCAGTGGCGCACCAGGAACTCTCCCAGGGTCGGTGGCGCGCCCAGGAGTCCCTCCCAGGGGCGGTGGTGCACCTGGGGTCCCTCTCATTGGAAGAGGAGTGCTCAGGGACCATTCAAGGAAGCAGAGCCTCCAGGGACCATCCCAGAGACCCTCCCAGGGAAGGCGGCACCTCAAAGGATACTCCCAGGGGCATCCACATCCCTAGAGACCTTTCCCGGGACGTTAGTGCCCCCAGAGACCTTCTTAGAGGTCCCAGTGGGCCCTATGGCATGCTTGTTTGTTGTGTCATATTTTCGTACATTACATACTTCCCGAAGTCCCTTACTTAACTCTGATTGGTGGACTATTCTCTTAACCCGCCAAATTTCAGCCAATAGGAGAAGAGATCAGTCAGTCAGCACAACACCCCGACTTATGTTTTCCTGTTGATATTATTCTCTGTTACCTTCTTCAGAATGCGATCATATTGGTGGAAATGTGATGGGCGGTGTATTTATTTAACGTTTCATCTCCCAGAGTAAAAATTGAGCATAAACTACTGCACCCATGGGCCCTACAGGCCTAGCGCTCCCAGGGGCCATCCCAGGAGTGGTGGACACCCCAGGAACCCTCCTAGGTGCCGCGACGCCCCCAGGGTGCCCCCCAGTGGCGACGGTGCCCCCAGGGGCACTCGCAACATCAGCGGCATCCTCAGGCGCATTCTCAGGAGCAACGGGACCCCAGTGACCCTGACTGGAGCCGCGGATCCCGCAGGGACTAACCCAGGGGCAGCGCAGCCCCCAGGGACAATCCCAGAGACGGTTCAAGGGGCAGTGGCGCACCAGGAACTCTCCCAGGGTCGGTGGCGCGCCCAAAAGTCCCTCCCAGGGGCGGTGGTGCACCTGGGGTCCCTCTCATTGGAAGAGGAGTGCTCAGGGACCATTCCAAGGAAGCAGAGCCTCCAGGGACCATCCCAGAGACCCTCCCAGGGAAGGCGGCACCTCAAAGGATACTCCCAGGGGCATCCACACCCCCAGAGACCATTCCGGGGACGTTAGTTTCCGGGGACGTTAGTGCCCCCAGAGACCTTCTTAGAGGTCCCAGTGGGCCCTATGGCATGCTTGTTTGTTGTGTCATATTTTCGTACATTACATACTTCCCGAAGTCCCTTACTTAACTCTGATTGGTGGACTATTCTCTTAACCCGCCAAATTTCAGCCAATAGGAGAAGAGATCAGTCAGTCAGCACAACACCCCGACTTATGTTTTCCTGTTGATATTATTCTCTGTTACCTTCTTCAGAATGCGATCATATTGGTGGAAATGTGATGGGCGGTGTATTTATTTAACGTTGCATCTCCCAGAGTAAAAATTGAGCATAAACTACTGCACCCATGGGCCCTACAGGCCTGGCGCTCCCAGGGGCCATCCCAGGAGTGGTGGACACCCCAGGAACCCTCCTAGGTGCCGTGACTCCCCCAGGGTGCCCCCCAGTGGCGACGGTGCCCCCCGGGGCGCTCGCAACATCAGCGGCATCCTCAGGCGCATTCTCAGGAGCAATGGGGCCCCAGTGACCCTGACTGGAGCAGCTGATCCCGCAGGGACCAACCCAGGGGCAGCGCAGCCCCCAGGGACCATCCCAGAGACGGTTCAAGGGGCAGTGGCGCACCAGGAACTCTCCCAGGGTCGATGGCGCGCCCAGAAGTCCCTCCCAGGGGCGGTGGTGCACCTGGGGTCCCTCTCATTGGAAGAGGAGTGCTCAGGGACCATTCCAAGGAAGCAGAGCCTCCAGGGACCATCCCAGAGACCCTCCCAGGGAAGGCGGCACCTCAAAGGATACTCCCAGGGGCATCCAAACCCCCAGAGACCTTTCCGGGGACGTTAGTGCCCCCAGAGACCTTCTTAGAGGTCCCAGTGGGCCCTATGGCATGCTTGTTTGTTGTGTCATATTTTCGTACATTACATACTTCCCGAAGTCCCTTACTTAACTCTGATTGGTGGACTATTCTCTTAACCCGCCAAATTTCAGCCAATAGGAGAAGAGATCAGTCAGTCAGCACAACACCCCGAATTATGTTTTCCTGTTGATATTATTCTCTGTTACCTTCTTCAGAATGCGATCATATTGGTGGAAATGTGATGGGCGGTGTTTTTATTTAACGTTGCATCTCCCAGAGTAAAAATTGAGCATAAACTATTGCACCCATGGGCCCTACAGGCCTAGCGCTCCCAGGGGCCATCCCAGGAGTGGTGGACACCCCAGGAACCCTCCTAGGTGCCGCGACGCCCCCAGGGTGCCCCCCCAGTGGCGACGGTGCCCCCAGGGGCCCTCGCAACATCAGCGGCATCCTCAGGCGCATTCTCAGGAGCAATGGGACCCCAGTGACCCTGACTGGAGCAGCGGATCCCGGAGGGACCAACCCAGGGGCAGCGCAGCCCCCAGGGACCATCCCAGAGACGGTTCAAGGGGCAGTGGCGCACCAGGAACTCTTCCATGGTCGGTGGCGCGCCCAGGAGTCCCTCCCAGGGGCGGTGGTGCACCTGGGGTCCCTCTCATTGGAAGAGGAGTGCTCAGGGATCATTCCAGGGGAAACAGAGCCTCCAGGGACCATCACAGAGACCCTCCCAGGGAAGGCGGCACCTCAAAGGACACTCCCAGGGGCATCCACACCACCAGAGACCTTTCCGGGGACGTTATTGCCCCCAGAGACCTTCTTAGAGGTCCAAGCGGGCCCTATGGCATGCTTGTTTGTTGTGTCATAGTTTCGTACATTACATACTTCCCGAAGTCCCTTACTTAACTCTGATTGGTGGACTATTCTCTTAACCCGCCAAATTTTAGCCAATAGGAGAAAAGATCAGTCAGTCAGCACAACACCCCGACTTATGTTTTCCTGTTGATATTATTCTCTGTTACCTTCTTCAGAATGCGATCATATTGGTGTAAATGTGATGGGCGGTGTATTTATTTAACGTTGCATCTCCCAGAGTAAAAATTGAGCATAAACTATTGCACCCATGGGCCCTACAGGCCTGGCGCTCCCAGGGGCCATCCCAGGAGTGGTGGACACCCCAGGAACCCTCCTAGGTGCCGCGACGCCCCCAGGTTGCCCCCCAGTGGCGACGGTGCCCCCAGGGGCCCTCGCAACATCAGCGGCATCCTCAGGCGCATTCTCAGGAGCAATGGGACCCCAGTGACCCTGACTGGAGCCGCGGATCCCGTAGGGACCAACCCAGGGGCAGCGCAGCCCCCAGGGACAATCCCAGAGACGGTTCAAGGGGCAGAGGCGCACCAGGAACTCTCCCAGGGTCGGTGGCGCGCCCAGGAGTCCCTCCCAGGGGTGGTGGTGCACCTGGGGTCCCTCTCATTGGAAGAGTAGTGCTCAGGGACCATTCCAGGGGAAACAGAGCCTCCAGGGACCATCACAGAGACCCTCCCAGGGAAGGCGGCACCTCAAAGGACACTCCCAGGGGCATCCACACCACCAGAGACCTTTCCGGGGACGTTAGTGCCCCCAGAGACCTTCTTAGAGGTCCGAGCGGGCCCTATGGCATGCTTGTTTGTTGTGTCATATTTTCGTACATTACATACTTCCCGAAGTCCCTTACTTAACTATGATTGGTAGTCTTACAAAGGACAGAAAGGAATAAAAGCAAACTAAGGTTTTCATAAGAATTAACTTAAAACTTTTATTCTTAAGAGTAATTCTTAAATTACAAACGCAAACTTTTAAAGATATAATATTCACAGCTTCTTAGTAAAATGGACTTAAAAGATAATAATAAGACCCTGCTATGTAGAATGTGAGAGAATGAGCTTCACCCATGGCTTGGCAGAAAACGATAAGGGGGAACTTATTCTAGCTTCACTTTAGAATATACCGTGTAATATTAATAACAATCTATGAATGTGAAGACTTAGATTATGTACTGTAATATTCCTGATTAACATTTGATACAGAAATAAGTATGATGTCAAGATTTTTAAGACAGCCTACATCTTGTTACAGGAGTATCTTGTAGGTTGTTTGTGACCAAGTAAGTCTGGCCTAAAACTAGATGAAGGTGTAGAGACAGGGCACCATTTTCTTATTTTGCTTTAATGTACGGAAAGCATATCTGGCATCAAAGATGAAGAAAAATTTGTAACCTTACAATACGAACCAACTAAACCAAATCTACTTATCTTACGTAATTTTGTGGAGCAAATTAAGCAGGTTAGGTAGAGTTAAATCTTGTCTTGTTTGCTGGTTTGATCTAATCATACAAATAAATTGTTGTCACTTCTATGATGATTCAAACTATTTTTTTGAGATTACACAACACACGGGCAAGGGGAGACCAAATCAAAGTGTACTGTATAAACATCTCAGCGGGCACTACTCGGTCGAATGTACATAGCTGGAGCTGGCAGAAGAAGCCACAAGACCAGAAAACAGTGAGGGCAAACCTTTTTTGAGTGAGATATGTGAATTCTTGGAATAATCTGCCAGTGTGTGTTGTAACAGTGCCAACACTGGAGCAGGTTCTGATATACTGTATTCAGGAGCCAGTTCATGCCCAGTACTTGCCAACAGTGCATAACAGATGTGACCGACTGCCGAAACGGCTAATG